GTATGTGTAAACATACCTGGCAATAAAGCTCATTCTGATTCTGAACCTTTAAAGTCACGATTAAGTTTTTTTTTTGGATTTTGCTCTGCTGTCTGTCGACTCCGTGTTCACAGTGGGTGTTGCGGAGAAACATGACAACGAGACCGCTTGTGTAATGCCGGCCGCACTAGAGCACGCTCACAAAATGGTGGCGACAGTGGAGCCTGATCGCAAGATGGCGGACACAACAGCACCCCGTCATGTCACAGCTGCCCATCTTGAGTGCCGTCAAGTCACAGCTGATCGTCATGAGTCCGGTCAAGTTCCAGTTCATTATCATGAGTCAAGTTTAGTCACGCTGCCATGTTCCCCGAGGCGATGGCGCCCACTGTAGCTCCTCCAGAGGTGGCGGCCCATGCTGCAGAACCTCCCGAGATGGCGGTGCTCACCTCAGCTCCTTGCACGGTGGTGGCGCCCAGCAACGCACCTTCAGCCTGTCTTGTCACGGTCGAAGGAACCATTACTGAACTCTCCCTGTATCCCAATGGTCCTACTGTAGAACCTCCAGAGGTGGCGGAATCCGCTGCAGAACCTCCAGAGGTGTCAGTGGTATCCACTCATGAACTTTCGTCCTGTTCTGTTCCGGCCAAGGAGGCCATCTATGAACTCTCTAACAGTCCTGTAACGGCTATGAAGTCCATCTGTGAACTCTCTGCCTGTCCTGTCACGGCTATGGAGGCCGTCTGTGAAATGTCACGAATCCTGTCCATGAACTTCCGTTCAATCACCACCAGAGGTCACCCTTCCATTACATTGACATCATGTGTCAAGTCAAGCTGATCTTCCTGAGTCAAGTCAAGTCACGGCTGATCTTCATGAGTCTAGTGAAGTCACAACTGATCGTCATGAGTCAAGTCAAGTCACAGTTGATCGTCATGAGTCAAGTCTAGTCACAGCTGGTTCGTCGTCGACTGACCCTCGCTTGTTTACCGGACTACCCTTGCCTTGTCTTCTACATACCAGTTTGCCTATGTCTGACCTATGCCCGTTTATGACCACATCTTAATAAAAGCTTTGCACATGGATCTGCACGTCTCATGTTCTGGTTACTCCGTAACACTATCGATATCTCTTTTATATTGTTCAGTTTGTAAATTTTCATGCAGGATTGTCATGACAAAATGGGCTTAATAGTGAATTGTTCATTTTATAAACTTCAATTTAATTATTGTGTACATTTTGATTGTTACTTTTAAAAATGTGTTCTTGACTTTGGAGTAGACATTTATTTTGAATCTTGTGATTAAAGTATATTTCATATAAAAAGCCCAGAAGTTTCAAACATTATTTTTAATATCACAAACAGGAAATAACTCGCATAATTCAATGAAACGAATAACTATAAATGAATTACAACTAAATTACACAAGATTAATTTTTTTAAAATGCTTAATTTATTATTATAAAATGCATACATAAAGTATTATGTATTTTGTAATAAAAGCAAATTACCCCTTAAAAACCGTAAGGTGGCATTACTCTGGTAAGAACGTAAGCTCCGCCCCTCACTTCCGGTTCTGTGGCTGCGGTTCTGACACGTCTGCAGCTGGATACTATTGTGTTCAGATCTGCCTCCATTTTTGAGTGCCACGCCCACTTCTCAACATCCAATCAACAACTGACACAAAGAACAACTTCTCCATCCTACATTTTTTCTTTTTCAATAATCCTTTTTACTCGGATGTACATCACGAAAAAGTTCCTAAATGCACAATGACTATGTAACCACCCACTTTAAAAAAAAAAAAGAAGCCTTAAATCAAATATCTATATAATCATACATAATTTCTAAATATATATAATTTTGTAATATATAATTTCTAAATTGTTTATTTTAAATTCCATAATTTATATTTTATATATTATTTATACATTTTAAATTCCACCTTTGCAGTACCTTCTCTGATTGAAATCTGTGCTGTATTGCAACAATCAAGACTTTTTTCTGTTATTTTTTTGGCAAATATTAACAACTTTTATGGAGGTATATACCACCTTAGATTTTAAATTATATATAGAGAGAGAAATAATTCAATTTTTACTTTCAGGACCTAACTTGCTCTAAAGAGGTGTATGAATATAATCATTCAGCAGCAGCATCACAGTACCATGATATCAGAATCTATTTTTCTGTAGGGCTACAATGGGTTAATCAGGGATGGTGAAGGCTAAACCAGGAGGCATTAGAGGGTTAACAGTTCCTGGCGGTTGTGACTAGTTTGCAGAGACGCCACTGGATTGGGGTTTCAACTTTACACCAAATGCATGACCCAGAACAATAATTCATGTAAAGCATTAAATACATTCGCATTTGCAAACTCATCTACCTAGTTAACCCTATACCAGTTATCTGTGCAATTTCACTTCCTTGTTATTGTGGGTTAGTTGGTGGACGCATGCTGTTTCTCAGCATTCATACAGTGTACAGTGTTTTTCATCATCGAAAGCGCGTGCAGTGCGTTACATGATTGCTCGACATGCAGGTGTTCTTACCTAAAGCAGTCAATCAGATCAGACACACTTCATGTGTGTCATCCGGGGGCCAGACAGTGAATGTCAGTTAGGGTTAGGGTTAGGGTTAGAAACTTAACCCTAACCCTAATGTCACACTCCTCCCAGTGTTACAGGTGCCATTACGCCTGAAGGTTACCGAGTCACCTTATCAGTAAAAACACAGTGTGCACCTTACAGTTTACAATCTAAAGCTGATCAGTGATAGTTATGGTGTTTACAAACAATATGCAGCTGTTTTTCTCTACACATGCTTTTTAAAATAATAATCTGAATATTACATTTAATACTAAATAATAATAATATGCGCACAATAAAAAATGCAACCACGTGGGGAGAAAATAGAGCAGTCTTGAGCACTGATTAGATTACGTGGCTGCGCAAACAGCGCGCAGTGATGATGCGCTACAGCAAAGTCTATGAAGGTAGAATGACGTCAAAAAGATTTGCATACGCAGGGTAAGAGTTGTGGAAGTGTACATAAGACCGTAAGCGTAAATTAAATTTGCATGCGCAAGAGAAGCTTTGTAAAGGTGTAAATCGCGTTTCAAGCACAAGAAAAATTATTTGCAGCATTACAGCATTCTGTTACTAGTAAGTGTAATTCATGTATTGTGAAACTGCAGCTTCATGCTAACGCAAATCCCTTTAAGGGTTTTCTGGGCTACAGCGCTGTTTGTGTTTTAGCTTCCGAGGTCGAGTCTGACGCAACCGCGCGCCAGGTTTCGAAACGTTCTATTTACAAAGAAACAAATTAGCAAAAATAAGAAGTCCGCGCGTCAAGAATAAAGTAATGGAAAGCATAATGGAAACAATGGAGCAAGGTAAATTTACGACTTATGAGTCTGTTTTCATTAAACGTGTCAAAACGTTTTGAAACCTATACACGTCTTCTATTTAGACACACTTGGCTAAATGTATTCTTCTATTCTGCTGTTTTCTAGGTGCCTTAAAACATTTTGTGTTGAAGTGTATGCTACATTCATGGAATTAATTTAGTAAACATATACAACTTAACTCAATTTATTGTCACTACATTGCTTCTAACACAACGTTTCCCCAATATCTTTTGTAATTTGTCAGTTAATTTACCTCAACGACAAATAAATAAATATATATTATAGTGCACACATTCATTTGTAATACCTAAATAACAAGTGAATAACACTATAATATACAATCAAACTGTCACTAGTTTTACATTGTTCAGTCAATTTGTTTAATTAATCAAGAATTAATAAATAGATATATTCCTCATTCAAACACTAAAGTATTCTATATAATATTTCGTAATAATGCATAAAAGTGCCCCAAAGACCTTAAAAGGAATAGTTGGCTCAAAAATTTAGCATTTTCTTGAAAATTAACTCAGCCTTTGGCCATCCAAGATGTAGATGAGTTTGGTTCTTCATGGGAACAGATTTGGAGAAATGTAGCATGTAACTTGCTCACCAATGTCTTAGATCATACCTCCACGCCAGATAATTAAGATTCAGCCCCGGATGCCAGATCCCGTCAGAAAATATCCGTTTTGTCTGGTAACAGAACAACCTGTCAGCAAAGTAGTCTAATACCCAAAACCTGTTAATAGGAAGTCTTGTCTGGTACCCAAAATACCCAAAACTCTATTAACAGTCTTCTATCGGCCAAGACGTTGACTGAGGAAAAAGCCAGTGAAGAGCAGAAGACGGATACGATGTGATGATAAAAAGGAGTTTATTGAATAGTGTTAGTTGCATATGTTTCAATGCTCAGACTTCGTCTGACCAGCACTAATTCAACAAGTATTGTTATACCAAACTGATTCACAACAACATCCCATAATAATCCTTGAGTTTCCATAAATATTCCCACTTATCTCTTATTCATGAAGACAAACAGCCCTTGAAACCACACAGTCATAAGACTAAACAACAATGGAAAATAGTATAAAAAAACAACAATAATATAATATAAATGACTAATCAATCAATGAATCAATTAAATGAATATATAAATGGCTATAATTATTATTATAAATGATTATATGATTAAATGGAATAATAAAAATGATTAAATTATTATAAATGAGTGAATAAATGGATATAAAAGAAAAAATGTTAAACACAACACAAATGTATGATTGCTCACTTGAAGCAAAAACACACACAGTTTCAGATCCTTCACGTCAGAATGAGAGTCCAAACAGCTGATTAAAAGCATCACAATAGTCCATAAGTAATCCACACCACTCCAGTCCATCATCAGGATGTTTTAACTTTAAATGATCATGTCTGGCCAAAATGGCAATCCATAATAATGCATTCTGACGGCACCCATTCGCTGCATTTTTGGATAAACTGTTCCATTAAACTCTAAAATTTCATTTTATTTGATTAAAATATGATATCTAAGGTGAGGCGCAATAACAAGCTAATGAAAAGTTGAATATCTTTACATAATGTTTTATTATTATTAAGGTTTTCACAACTTTACAATCATTCAGCAATGTGAAAAATATTCCTAATAAAGAAAGAGTAGCTGTGTCCAAACATTTATCTGCTAGTGTAAATGTATTTTCACATACGTTGTATTTTTAATGCATAGTTGTCATGATGCACATACACGAGGAACGAGGAGACGCTGGAGAATACTTTTACCAAGACTTTATTTTCAGGAACCAAGGGAGACGAACTCAGGAAGACGTTTAACTCGGGAACAGAAGCCCTTCCTGGGCTGAACTGGGGAACAGGGTAAAACTGAAGACAACCAGACTGAACCAGAAAACAAAAAAACTTTCAAAAACACGGAACTTAAACACGGGGAAGGGATGCCGCTTACTGTTTGGTCCGCTGTTCTGTCACGATGCACATACATGGGGAGACGCTGGAGAATACTTTTACCAAGACTTTATTTTCAGGAACCAAGGGAGACGAACTCAGGAAGACGTTTAACAGCGGACAGAGAACTTGGGACTGGGAACACTATTTATACACACAGGAGGAGGGGATGACGAGACACACCTGGGAGCAATGAAACACTAATCAGGGGAGGAACAGGAAACTAACCAAATAAGGGCATGGGAAGGCACATGGGGAGCAGGACACACACAAAACATGGAACAGAGTCTGACAATAGTGTGATTGTTATATGATTTGTCAGGTGTTCTGGGTCACCTGATGGCTTTAGAGAGGGGAGGTATGGGACAGCAGGACCAGCATGACTCTCAGAGGTTAGAGATGCTCAAAGCCAGAGCTGTGACCCTCCGTGCCAAAAGAGATCAAATCAAACATCAGACAGATGTGGTCAAGGTGAGACAGGGTTGAAATGGTAAAGAGACATTTATCTAATATCTAACTTTGTCAAACAGATTTATTATCCACTTTTTCTCATTGCACGGCAGATCCTGAAAGATAAAATCAGCAAAGATCTTCCATTGGAAGATGATGCTGCTGCAGCAGGCGGCTTCATTGAACTACAGAAGTCTATGTTAACAGCTTGGAGAATGCAGTTGAAAGACCTTCAGCGTGCTCATCACTTAATTGGTAATTTTGTACTGATTAAATCATATTGAGTTCACACGTAGATCATCTGTGTATTGCCTCTGTTTCAGGCCTGATCGATTGTGCTGTCTTTCTCAGGTGGCTATGAATTGGTGGAGTGTAAGGAAGGGAAAAGCGTGTGTGTGTCTTTTCACACGGCCTTTGAGGGTGTGTATTTGGAGACGCATAACATGGAACTGGACCTGACGTGCACCGTGCAGATCTCTCGCCATAACATCCCCCCGTCATTCCCACTCGAGAGTTTCGCCAAACAGAACCTGCAGAAAGACCTTAAAGCCTTCCTGCAGACCCTCAGCCAGAACCTCAACGCTTTAGCCGCTCGCAGACGGCAGGTCTGCCTCCTCAAGGTATTCAGGTTCCCTGCATTTATTGTATATACTAGGGTTTGGGGTGTTTTTAATATTTTTGATATAAATCTCTTATGCTTGCTAAGGCTGCATTTATTTGATCAAGAAATACTAAAAACATTAATATTGTTAAATATTATTACAACTTAAAATCACTATTTGAAAAGATTTTATAATGTATTTCATTCCTGTGATGCAAAGCTTAGTTTTTAGCATCATTACTCCAGTCTTCAGTGTCACAAGATCCTTCAGAAATCATTCTAATATGCTGATTTTCTTCTTATTATTAATGTTGAAAACAGTTCTGCTGCTTAATATTTTTGTGGAAACTGTGATAGATATTTTTGATGAATAGATCTCTGATTATCAATGTCTTTACTTTCACTTTGATCAATTTAATGCATTCTTGCTGAATATAAATCTTTCTTGTCTTTGCCACAGGAGCTCATTGGTTCGGTGGAGGTGATGGAGAGCAATCAGTTGTGCAATATTCTTGTGCTCATGTGTACAGCACAAAGCGAGACTCCCAAAGCTGTTCTATGCACACTGGAGTACGGCGATCTCACACAATGTCTGCCAACACGGGTTAGCATTGAGTGTGAAGGTACGACACATCACAATTTAACTGAACCTGGATAAGCTTACCATCTCATTTAGAACCGAACATTCATGTGGCTCAAACAAGACATCATGACATTTGCAATGCCAGTCTTTTGAGTTCAGTTTGTATAGCTTGAAAAATAGACAGCTTGAATGCAGTGCAAGTCGATTTGGATAAAACAGATGCAAATGTAACAGAACAAATTAATATGAATTAATTAAAGATATAGTTCACCCAAAAATGAAAACTCTGTCTTCATTTACTCATCCTCATGTCATTCCAAACCTGTTTGACTTTGATTATCTTTGAAACACAAATTAAGATATTGTTAATGAAAACTGAGAAACATTGGAAGTCCAGGTAACTAAAACCTAGAAGGTTCAAAAAGGTCATAAATATGGCATGAAATGAATCCATATTAATTTTAATCCAAGTTTCGTGAAGATACGAGTACTTTATATGATGAACAGATTCCTATGGTTTCATTCTATGAACTTTTTGGATCTTCTAAATTTTAGTTACCTGGACATTCAATGAAGCATCTCGGATTCCATTAAAAATATATGTATTTCTGTTTCGAAGATTAACCAAAGTCTTTTGGGGAGTACATTTCCATTTTTGAGTGAACTGTCCCTTTTAATATGAAATAATTGTTGGTAAATCTCACATGAAGGGGTAAATATGGAATGGATATTATTCTTACATGGGCTGGAATGAAGTGTGAGATTACAAAGCATTTTTATCAGTTTATTTTGTGTTAAATTATGCAGTAAGTATTAAAAAATGTAAAGACTAAATCAAGAAAAAAAAAACCTTGCTATTGTTATTGTCATTTAATTTATTTCGGAGTAAATGTATGTATGTTTTCTTACTGACGTTCATTTGGAAATGAGGGCAACAGTATAATCAAAGCATGCTTTATTTATCTTTAAAGATTTGGAAAAGGAAAAGGAACTGGGTTACATTAATTTTGTATTTATTCTTGTAGATAAAACACTTTCAGAATCTCCACAGTGGAAGAAAAACCAGTCTCTGCTCCTGGAGTCTCCAGCTCATACGACTGTCCTGACCATGAGGAGGATGGGAAGCATCGCTTAACAAATGTGACAAAATGAACACCTTAATGTAAATAATGTTCCGTTACAGTGCAGTTGCACATTCAGAGGTAGATTAACACGTAACTTGAGAGAACTGAGAAAAACAACTATTTAGCACGATCAGTTCAAAATTCTCTTAATGGTACATAAATGTTCATGCATAAGTTGTCAAATGCTGTATAGAGTTGAGAAAGCTTCTTATTTTCTGTTGTAGTTTTTCTCTCTGCAGTTGTTTCAGTCTTTCTTTATACCATCGGTAATACTCTACCTGATAGATCAGCTCTTTCTGAGAGATGCTGTCGATCAATGCTAGGTCTTTCAGCTGTAGAATGGAACGCTGAGCGTTTTCTGAAGCTTTGAATTTCTCTGTGACTATCATAGATGCAGATGAATCATCTTGCTTGACGGAGAATGATGCTGATTTAGCAGACCTCTGTTCTTCATCATCCTCATACGTTTTCACAGAAGATAGAGGTCTGAAAGCTGGAGCGGATTTTGAAAATCGTGTCTCGTGTGCATCGTTTGTCATCCTGACCTCTGATATGGCTCTCATTGTGTTGTTTATGGTTGCGTGCGGTTCGCTAACCCTTAAAGGTATAGTTCACCCAAAAATGAAAATTGGATGTTTATCTGCTTACCCCCAGGGCATCCAAGATGTAGATGACTTTGTTTCTTCAGTAGAACACAAATTATGATTTTTAACTCCAGCCGTTGCTGGATATCAACACACACATTAACGTAAACTACACCAGAGACGCGCGCGTACACACCTCACGCATCGGATGCCGTGCACGCACTCAAGGAAGTTGGACGTAGTGGTGTATTAGAGGTAAAAAATTATATAAATACGGTTCGGTTTCTGGCACAGACCGATCGTTTCGTGTCTTAGGACATCAATGTGTCGTCACGAGCCGCAGGGTTTAATTTGGATTTGTCTGTGAATGTTTTTTGTACTCTCATAGATTTTGTTACCATTGCCATGCATTATACGACTGATAGACTGCAACGGCTGGACTTAAAAATCATAATTTGTGTTCTACTGAAGAAACAAAGTCACCTACATCTTGGATGCCCTGGGGGTAAGCAGATAAACATCAAATTTTCATTTTTGGGTGAACTATCCCTTTAAATCCAGCAGCCGTTTGTACTCTTTTAGCACTAGCTCTCGTTCCTGCTTCAGCAGCCTGAGGTTGAGTCTGTATTTGGCGCTGATGTTGTGTAGTTTCCACTGAAGATGGACTTCTTCTTTGTGGTTCAGCAGTCTTACTTGGGTCTCTTAACGCTTCGCTGTGTTGACATTTTGAGATGTTTCTTTAAAAAACAAATAAATGGAATGAAACAGTACAAAAAAAGTACAAAATGCAGATTTTAAAAACACACTGCTCAAATACATGCATACAGTGGGTTCAAACGTCTCAGAAGCTTCAGACTTTCAGAACCCAATTAATGTTTCAAAGCCAATTTATTTTGCCCAAATATGTATATTGTGTATAAATAATAAATGTAAATGTACTGTACGTGAAGCTGCTGCATATGGTTTCTCGTCTTGTATGAGCATGTAGACTTAGAATCTGCTGCTATGACACTTAAACATATAAACAGTGTCTTTCGTTCGGTCAGGTTTCCGGGTATTGAATTTCAAAGTCATTCGGTCACATGATCACTATTGTGTCAAAGTAAAGATGAAAGGTTGAAGTCCATTCAGATCTCCATTTAATAGCTCACAACTCTTTTGTGACATTTACTATTTTTCTAAAAATGTATTATAAATGATTTCATATCTCAGTAGTTTGGTATCTCAGAGTAAGATTATCTAGTGTTTACTATTGTATTCTGATTTATTTATCCCCCAATGTGTTTATTGTCTTCTTTTGCAATACAACGGATGAAATTATTATTGTTACAAATCAGTATTATATCATATCCTCTAGCCAAGCAATTTGGAGAACTGGGCGATAAGGTTTAATAGAATATTATATATTGTTAAATAATATCAATTATTATTTTTACAGTTTGGGTAAATTGGGCTTGTTTATGCTACTTGTAATGTAAAAACCTAAGATGGGGAGTATTACAACTACAAGATCATAAATTAATAAACGATCTTCAAACTGTGTAAGAAGAGTCAGAATGTGGTTCATTTTGAATGTAGTTCTACCATGGTAACAATGGTATTTTTCTATGATTACCATGGTATTTTTTGGGGGGGGTACTACTTTTTTATTTCCAGCATTTCATTTAACTGTAGTTGATGATCAGTTCAGACATGCTAAAGACCAACGTCCAGTAAACAACATTCACAGCATCAAAACATCGATTTAAAGAGTGATTTAATGAGGTAAGGTTCCTTTAAAATGACTCTTAATTTGATTTCGTTAATGTTTTCTCTTGCAGGAAGTGGGTTATTTTAAGTAGCCTATAGTTTTGAGTATTGTCAGACAGCAGAACTGAAGAATTAAAGTCGATGTCAGAATGTGTGTCATTCCTGCAAAAACAAGCTCTTTTGCACTGATCTATTATTCTCCGCTATAATTCATTGATGTGCATTATTTTTTTAATGATCGTGGCAGAATTTTTGACGTCATATGTGCGTTGAAATTGCGCAGAAAAGCAAACGTTAATGCAATTCACTTACTGTATTTTAGTGCATGTGTATGTCAAGTTACTTTGCAACAGTGTAGTGTTTTTGTGATATGAAGCTCCGCTTAAATTTCTCATTTCTTTTGTTTTAATTTTAGGTTTTAAAGTAAAGCTTATGTCCTGTTTGTTTAAGATCGCATTTAAATGTCAAAGCAACAAATGCAAGAAGAGAAAACGGTAAGTAAAAAAATGTGCTTAATTATTGAATACTAATTTTCAAAGTTTTATAATCAAATAACTTTAAAATCCCTTTTTATATTTATAATCACATTGCCAATGCATTGCAGGGGAAAACAAACAACATAAAATGATAAAAGGCAAATTAAAACTAAGAAGCATTGCAAACAGATTGTATTTCTTTTTAATTTCTAGTCAATGCAGGCAGTGTGTGTTGATGAATCAGGGAAGCTGGATTTGAAACATATTCCACGGCCTGAACCCAAAGATGAGCAGCTCCTCATCAGAGTCGCCGCAACTGCTTTAAACAGAGCTGACCTACTACAGGTAAACCATAAAATCCTGCTAGTGTTTGTGCCTTGGATAAACTGAATCTCACTGATGGCTTATTTTAATTGACAGAAAAGGGGTCTTTACCCTCCTCCTCCTGGAGCGAGTGAGATCTTGGGTCTGGAGGCCAGCGGTGTGATCGCTGACATCGGTCCTGGGGTCAAAGGGAATTGGAAACTTGGAAGTAAAGTAATGGCTTTACTCGGAGGAGGAGGCTATGCAGAATATGTAGCTGTTCCAGAAGAACTCGTCATGCCTGTCCCATCACCCCTCACTCTTTATCAAGCTGCAGCTCTTCCTGAGGCCTGGCTGACTGCCTACCAACTTCTGCACTTCATAGGTAACACCATGTCGGCTTGCTTTGAGTTTTATTTTCTTTACATGTAACTTTTTAACAAAAAATAAATAAATAAATTAGCTGAACATGTACTCACTATCAATCCATCCAAGACGAGTTTGTCTCTTCATCAGATTTGGAGAAATGTAGCATTACGTCACTCGCTCACCAATGGATCCTGTGCAGCGAATGGGTGCCGTCAGAATGAGAGTCCAAACAGCTGATGAAAACATCACAATAATCCATACCAGTCCATCAGTTAATGTCTTGTGAAGAGAAAAGTTGCATGTTTGTAATTAAGAGATTTTTTACTTTGAGCTTTGCTTCTTGCTAAAATACGAGTCCTCTATCCATAATACTGTTTTCTTGAGTGAAAAAAGTTGTCTCGTATAAATCAGGAAAGAAATGTGCACAGAACAAGCACCATTTACAAGCAAAACAGTCCAAAACAGTTCTAAACAAATATGTGCATGGACGTTTTCACTGAAGGAAGTGTTATTATAGATTATAGACCAGTATTTTGCCCAGAAGCAAGCAATTTAAAGTTAAAACTCCTTGATGATGGATTTGTTTCTTACAAACACACAGCTTTTGGCTTCACAGGATGTTAACTGATGGGCTGGAGTGCTGTGGATTACTTGTGGATTATTGTGATGTTTTTATCAGCTGTTTGGACTCTCATTCTGACGGCACCCATTCACTGCAGAGGATCCATTGGTGAGCAAGTGATGCAGTGCTAAATTTCTACAAATCTGTTCTGTTCAAGAAACAAACTCATCTACATATTGTATGGTCTGAGGGTAAGTATATTTTCAGCAAACATTCATTTTTCGATTATTTCTTTTAAGCATTCAAATGCATTTTAAGGCCATTATATTTCCATATGCTGCTGTTTTTTATAGCCAAAGTGAAGCCGAATGAGACGGTGTTGATTCATGCTGGAGCGAGTGGAATCGGCACCGCTGCCATTCAGCTGGTTCGCTTGTGCCGTGCGATTCCTGTAGTAACAGCAGGGAGTTCGGAAAAGTTAAAATTTGCAGAGCAGATGGGAGCAGCTGCAGGAGTCAATTACAAAGAGGAGGATTTTTCTGAAAAAGTACTGCAGTTCACTGAAGGTCAGTATTCTAGTGTTCGGAATGTGTTTATAATATTACATTCTATATTAAATATCAATATTAAAATGAACACATTTACTTTAAATTCTGTGTTTTTGTGCAGGCAAGGGGGCTGATGTAATTCTGGACTGTGTTGGTGGATCTTTTTGGGAGAAGAACATTTGTAGCCTTGCAACAGATGGACGATGGGTGCTTTATGGCATGTTGGGAGGTAAAACGGCCGATGGAGACGTGCTTGGCAAGCTTTTGAGGAAGAGAGGCAATCTTCTTTGCAGTCTCCTCAGATCAAGAAGTTTACAGGTTAGACTCAGGAATACTAGTTACTTCAGATTTGACAAATTTTCTTCATAAACTGTAGACTAAAAGGAATATGTTTCTGTAGCATTAAAAGTTATGCACTTTGCATTTATGATTGTTTTATTTCTAGTATAAAGCAGAGCTGGTCCGGAGTTTCACAGAGCAGGTTTTGCCGCACTTCCAGTCAACAGATCCTCCCTTGTGGCCTGTGATAGACAGCATGTTCAACATGGAGGATGTTGAAATGGCTCATCAACGTATGGAGGCCAACAAAAATATTGGGAAAATAATCATCAAAATTGGAAACTCTTGATCATATACAATAATCAGCGTAGATCGTCTGTTCGAATCCCGGCTCGAGGACCTTTCCCGATCACTCTTGTATTATAATAAAGGCAAAACACCAAAAAAAAAACGGCATAGATGTTTAATTAGTAATTATGACATAAGACTTATACTGTAATAATTCTGAATGGAGTAAATCATTAAGACCACTTACAAAATCTATTCATGTTAAATGTTGCATAAAAAGAATTCACATAAATAAATACCTTAAAGAAGTTTATAAGAGGAAAACATACAGCTTTAGGGTGAAAAAAGGTATTTTCTGTCTGTGATGAGGATCGGATTAATTAGATCACATTTTGTACCTGTTTTAAATCGTCATATCACATGTTCTCCTAATTATGTGTATTACTTTAAACTGCTGTCTAGTTTAATCCAGTATTTATGATTTAGGATAGTTAAAGGGATAGTTCACCCAAAAATGAAAATTCTGTCATTTACTCACCCTCATGTCGTTCCAAACCTGTATGAGTTGCTTTCTTATGTTGAACACAAAAGAAGATATTTTGAAGATTGCTGGTAATCAAACAGTTGGTGGTTGTCATTGACTTCCATAGTATTTTTTTTCCTACTATGGAAGTCAATGGCAACCACCAACACAATATGGCTACAAATGAGGGCTATTATTTTTACTTTTAAATTTATAATAAACATTTGTATTTTAAAATAGTTTGGGTTGCTTTTTTATTTATAGGGCTTCACTAATCACTATGTAAAATAGTAGAAGATATGACCGCTAAATGAAAGTAGCTGACATGACATTTCAAAACTGTAAATCTAAAACTATTTTAAGTAATATTTTTATAAATTTTGCTGAAGTTGTTTGAAACGTCCAGTTATTTAAACGCTTTCAAAACGTTTTTATTGGTCATGAGTTAACATTACCCTTACCAAAAAGTAGTATACTTCAAGTTTATTTTTAAGTATACTTTATGTAGCAAGTATACAAATATCAGTGTACTAGTAGTATACTTGTAAGTGTACTATTTCAATACTCCTTGGGACTAAATTGGCCCACTTTCTAGTATATAAAAGTATACTTTAAGTATAACAGTGGTAAACTTTAAGTACACAACTAGTTTACAACAATATTTTAGCTTGTACTGCAACTATACTAAAAGTGAACTTATATGAATACTGATAGTTTTCTAATTAAATACTTGTAGTAGCATTTTTAGTACACTTTGAAGTATAGGCTTAGTAAACTACTAGTTTAGTAGTTTTATACTGCAAGTATACTCGTAAGTTTTCTTTAAGTGAACTTTACATCATACTTTAAGTATACTACTATGTCCCTGTTTAGGTATTAATTTGTATATATTTTGTTACATGAATATCTGAACATAAAAAACATCAAAAGAACAGGGTATCTGCTTGTAAACAAAAACATTTTATTCTACAAGTAAAAAAAATGCAGACCCTGTTGTATTTTCTTGTAATTTATTAAAAGAAGGTACACCGCCATCTTGCGCCAACTAAACTGACTTGAACGCACCTGACGTCGTAATTACGACTTGTCACATCAACTTTACGAACGTCCCAGGAGGACTTGAACGCAGCATTCGATTACATGTGGAAGCATCTGTTGTTTCGGTTTCTAATTCACTTGTGTTTTTTGGAAATTCTGTACAGAAAATGTGTACTAGCGCCCCTTACCGTATAACAATGAAAACACGGATTCTAGGAACACAAGTATAGCTCAACTATATTTAGACTTTTTCTAAGTAGGCTATAAGTCAAGTATACTTAAATGTCATTTTAAGTATCGTTCTGAGAAGTACATAAAGCCCATTTCTGAGAAGTACATAAAAAGTAGACTAAAAGTATACTTTCCTATTTTTTAGTTTAAAAGAAGTATACTAATAGCACACTTGAATAAACTTCTTTTTCGTAAGGGTAAGGAAACAATAATTTCATAACATTCATTTATAATTTTGCAGACATTCTGGGAACGTTACTTTTATATGCTCTCTGAACATTCTGAAACAATTGGTTACATTTTAAAAATGTAAGTAAAAAAAAAAAACTTTCGTGAATTATACATAAAGAACGTTTTGAGAACATTATTAAAGAGCAGATAACTTAAAACGAAGTTTAAAAAAAAAGATATATTACTGGAAGAACGTTTGTTCATAACTTCGAGAGAACGTTAGCCAATGTTCTGAGAACGTTCGCTGTTAGCAGGGCCTTAACCGGGTTTTTCAAACTCAAAGCCAGCTAAGTTACTTTCACTATTCACCGCTGCTCTTGAGCTTTAGTACTTGACGTAGGAACTTTATTTCCTACTTCCTGGTCTAAACTCTGCTCAAGATCAATGGCTCCACTTCACCTTTCGCCGTTTAAACGCTGTAAATATTAGTAGAAATGAATACACAAGTAACTTTATTAAAAATCGACTACTTTTCATAAACGGTAAGTGATCGATTTTATTGATTTATTAGTTCTCAGTCATGTGTTGATCTCTAACAGTCCTGAGCTCAGCGCCAGTCTACTGAAAATAAAAATGTAAAATGCTTTCGTAATATAGTTCGTAATAAAAGCGGAAACATTGTTTGTAAACGAAATATTAGTCATGTGGGTGTCCATAGTCGTTTTGTGGATGAATTACTAACTCTGGATATTTCTTTACACTTAATATCTTTTTAAATGGATAAAGAATATTGATAATATTACATTATTTCTTGTTTTGTTTGGTTGTATTTCTTCAGTGTACTGTATGCACATGTATGCCCTATTTGGACTCTTAAGGACACACTTTACATTTATGAATGTCATTGTTATTTTTTCTTTATTATAATTGCTCAATGCTTTGATATGTTGTTATCTAATGCAATGGCATCCATTTTTAGGCATAAGCGGCATAAGTGTCCAAATACTTTTATATAAGAGTAGAAAATATTTTGAAAGAATGGCATAACGACTGTCTCCATTTGTGATCTTCAGTCTTTAGTGTTTTTAGCAGAATTTGACAATGGCAGATACAAGCCGCCCTCAGCGCAAGCTGTCCCGAGCTGGAGAGAGTTTATACGAGATATTAGGCTTACCAAAAGGAGCTTCATCTGAGGATATTAAGAAAGCATACAGGTATTCTGGTTTATAGCTTATACTAATCAAGAAATCACAAATGCAACATCCCTATAAAGGCTTTGTGTTATAAATCCCCACCTTAAAGGGTTAGTTCGCCCAAAAATGAAAATTAGTACATAAATTACTCACCCTCAAGTCATCCTAGGTGTATATGACTTTCTTCTTTCAGACGAATCCAGTTGGAGTTATATTAAAAATTGTCTTTGATCTTTCAAGCTGTTTAATGGCAGTCAGCGGGTGTTGCATGCATCAGTCCAAAAGAAGTTAAATAAAAAGTGCCCATCCATAAAAAAAAGTGTCTCACACAGCTCCGGGGGGTGAACAAAGGCCTCCTGTAGCGAATCGATACGTTTTTGTAAGAAAAATATCCATATTCAAAACGTAATAATCACTTTAATCTAGCTTGCGCTCACTGTTGTACACAGAAGCAGTTCCGGGAGCATGACGTATGAGGTCAGCGTTGCATATGCGCCGGTGAGTCTCGTGAAAACCAACATTTGTTTACTGGAGCAAAGGAAGCAAAGTTTCCTCACTTCTGAGCGGCACATGCGCAACGCTGACCTCATACATCATCCGCCCGGAGCTGCTTCCGTGTACAACAGTGAGCGCAAGCTAGATTAAAGTGATTATTACATTTTAAATATGGTTATTTTTCTTACAAAAACGTATCGATTCGCTACAGGAGGAATTTGTTCACCCCCACGGAGCCGTGTGAGACACTTTTTATTAAGGATGGGTGCTTTTTATTTCACTTCTTTTGGACTGATGCATGCAACACCCGCTGACTGCCATTAAACAGCTTGAAAGATCAAAGACAATTTTTTATATAACTCCGACTGGATTTGTCTGAAAGAAGAAAGTCATATACACCTAGGATGACTTGAGGGTGAGTAATTTATGGGCTAATTTTTGAGTGAACTAACCCTTTAAGGAAACTGGCACTGAAGTATCACCCAGACAAGAACCCCAACAACCCTGAAGCGGTGGAGAAGTTCAAAGAGATCAACAATGCCAACGCCATCCTCAATGACGACACCAAACGACAGATCTACGACGAATATGGGTCCATGGGCCTCTACGCCGCAGACCAGTTCGGAGAGGAGGGCATTAAATACTACTTCCTCATGTCCAAATGCTGGTTTAAGGTGAGTAGTTTGTTTCTTATTTGTTTTTATTTCTACTTTTATATGCAGTGTAAATAATAAAAGTCATGGCACTGCATCTTGAAAAAATCTGATAATTTGAAAAAAGGGCCCAATATTATCTGATTTCATAATGCTGAGTTCAAAAATATTAATAACCACATTTCATGATCGCGTACACAGTTTTTTGACCAAATAAGAATGAAGATTTTTCAAATTATATGTATCAGCTTTAATGCACTTAGCAAAATAACAAAAAATAATTTTTTTTTTTAATTCACAAAATCTGTCATTTTCTGTCACTGTTTGGATGCAGTAAAATATCCGCAGATGTAGTGGAAAACATCTGGCTGATGTTTGCATGTTCTTCTGTCACTGGGCATAATTTTAACCTTGAAATCAAGATTAGCCATTAAAAAATGTCTACAGAATCATTCATACATGTTCAAATCAGCCGAGAATTGAAGAAATAGTTGTAATCTGGCTCAGAGGAAGACAGGAATCATGTCTTTGTGCAGTTTTTGCTGCTAATTAGGCAACAGTACAAGACGTCTTCACCTTACAAATGGTTGTTGAAAGCAAAAATGCAATCAGCAGCTCAAAATTAGTAAGAAACAAGTAATTGTTTTCTATTTTTCGGTTCAGGCACTCCTGGGATTGGGAGTGATCTTCACATGTTGCTGCTGCTTTTGCTGCTGTTGCTGCTGTTGCGGTAAATGTGGCGGTTCAGAGAACGAAGATCATTTTCACTATGTGGATCCAGATGAGCTGGAGGCGGAGATGTCAGAGGAGCAGAACAGAGGTGAGGAGCGGGACTCATGCTTTCAGCTCTGGAGCCTGCATCACAAGCTTACCAGATTCTGCCTGTGCCTGCAATTGTTAATAAGATAGCACTGTAAATCATGCAAATCACTGTATTTTGTGGTTTACAGGCAATGACACAGTAATAACAGGACAGCCTATTCGCAGTCCAGCACCTGGAAATTCAGGTGAACAACAGATGCACATTTTTGTGTGATAGATAGATACTATACAGTAAGGAATCAGTAAGATTTTGTCTAATACTTTTATTCAGCAAGGACACATTCATTTGATCAAAAGTGAGGGTAAAGACATTTGAAAATTCAACATTTTTTAAAATTACATTTTACATTTTATTCAAATAGAAAACAGTTGTTTTTTTTCCACAATATTACTGTTTTTAAGTACATTTACTGTATTTTCAGTAAAATAAATGCAGATTTGGTGAGCATGACCCCCAAATGGTAGTGTATAAAAATAGTGGAATTATCAACTAGTAACATTCACCAATGGTGATGGTCTTGCTAATATTGCTAGCTGTTCTTATTTTGCTTCTTTTACTTAGCTATTACTTTCTTTGTGTTGTTTAACAGGAAGCACTGTGATTGTAGGAATGGCCATTCCTGCCCACTCAGGTGTATATCAGCATCAGTTATTAGCATTAGCACGTTAAATTCCGTGTGATGTGATGTACTTTTTGCAAAAAAGGCATTAAAATTCAGATTCTGAGTTTGGTTATTTTACTGTGTTCTCCTGCAGATGGAGACACTTCTGTACTGATCACTCCAGATGCACATGTGGCACAGGAGTAGAGCAAACTACGACCTCCAGACTTGTTAGGAAGACTGACTTACTCCTGTTTCTGGTTGTAGAAATGAGGACACTGCTGTAGAAATGCGTTTGAGCATCAGTGGTTTGTATTACACAGTGCCTGTGCAGTTTTTGTGACTCGTTTGATCTCCACACATAATGCTATTTCTGTTTACATCATTTTATAATTGCCTTTTGGTTGCTTGAATGTCTTTTGATTTTAGATTTTTTTTTTGCAGAAACACTTTATTTTGTAATGCTTCATTTAAAGCAGCTGTATGTAGTTTTCGAGTATTTTTGTGACTTTGGAGCCCTCTACAGTTGAGTGAGTGGAATTCACTGTTGTACAGTTGCATGCATTTGTTGCTGTCTTAAAGCAATTTGTCATTTTTGCGGAATTTCGTACCCGCTCGTGAATGATGTTGAAACTGATACTTCAAGGTAAAAACATACATAGAGTTGCTTTAAATGACCTCTAGAGTACAATCAAACATACCTTGCACAACAAAGTCAACCTGAAGTAATACCACAAAAATGTTCTGTTTATATAACAACACCAGAATAATTGATTTGCGCAAAATAACATTTTCTATTTATCATCTTTAATTCGTACATTGCGTAAAGGTTAAACCATGCTTTTCCAGTGAAATCTAATATATGCACTTTGTGTGCTTTTCATTACAGTAATTCTTAAGAGCATAAAGTTTGTATGATTAATGCTGTATTTGTACAATGTGGAGTCATTAAGGCTCCAATACATGATAATGAATAAAGCCAACAGTCTTTTCTTATCTGTATATGCACATAAACATTGATATTATATCTAACAAACAACTATATGTGGTTTATTTTGCCACCGTTGCAAGCAAACCTTGAAATAACCTAACTATTTTATGACACATAATAATTTGGTATGATGCTGAAGATTAGAAGATTCAAATGAATGTATATAAATAATGAACATTATGCAAGATGATCATTAAAGCAGGGGTTCAGAGTTTAAAGGACCACTGTAATCGTGCCTCCCATGGTGATGAAGCTGCTAATTTGCAGGTGAATGTTTCGTTTGTTATGGCCTCAGAGATAGTTTTGTCTGAGATACAAAACGTTTTGTTTATAACTGAAATGATATGATTTCTATGTGGAATTATGAAAGATTAATAAATGTAGCTGATTACTGTATCTCTAATCAAGCGTTTTATGTCCATTTATATGAATCTGTACAGCAGTAAAATTGCTATATGCAAGCAAAACAAAATAGAACGTTTGTTCATAACCTTGCCTGTTCTGAGAAGGTTCCCTGTTAGCTGGGATGTGCAAATGCGAGCACATGTTTTCCAAACCCTCCAGTTTTTCCTTTCTTTATATCTTTCTTTATCTGACCTTGCTGAAATCTAAACATGCACCAACACAATTTTCTGCCATGTTATAGCAGCAGCGTGTGAAACAGCATATGGCTTTAGTTTAGACCAACTGCAAACTTGAAATTTCATATTCGTTCATCTACAAAACATTCTAGAAATTCTAAGAAAAGCAGCAAGGCAAAACACAGGCCCGAAGGAAGTTACTCATCACATGTGCTGTGTGCTTGATCTTCATGATCGGGGAAGTCATTGGTGAGAATTAAAGGACATGCTCTGTTTAAAGGACCTAATCTGCTGTATAACCTGCTGATTGCAAAAGTACAGTTGACAAATAAAATGGACATGAACTTACTGTAACTTGCATTTGAGACTTGTGTTGACGTTCTGCTCTCGCAGGTGGTTACGCTGCTCATAATGACCGATGCTGCACATCTTCTCACTGACTTTGGCAGCATTTCGATCAGTCTCTTCGCACTGTGGATTTCCTCTAGGCCACCATCCAAACATCGGACCTTTGGATGGCATCGATCAGGTGTGTGTGTGTATATATATTTATATGCACATACTAAGAATACTTTTATGCTCACAAAGGCTGCATTTTTTAAATGCAGTAAAAACAGTAAAATTGTTAAATATTTTTCAAATTTAAAATAGTCTTCTATTTTAATATATTTTAAAATGTCATTTAAATTGCTGCTCAAGAAACATTATTATCAGTGTTTTTGCCATTTCATATTTTTGTGGAAAAGGTGATACATTTTTTTTTCAGGATTCTTTGATGAATATAAAGTTCAAAAGAGCAGCATATATTAAAGAAAAAAAATCTACTTTTATTTTTTTAACATTATCAATGTCTTTCCTGTCACTTTTGATCTATTTAATCTGTCCTTGCTGAATAAAAGTAATATTTATTTTCTTAATTCTGTATCAATTGTTCCACAAAAATATGAAGCAGTGCAACTGTTTTCAACAGTGATAATAATCAGAAATGTGTCTTGTGCAGCAAATCAGTATATTAGAATGATTTCTGAAGGATCATGTAACACTGAAGTAATTGCTACTGAAAATTTTAAAATAAATTACATTTTAAAATATATTCACACAGAAAACAGTTCTTTTAAATTGTAGTAATATTTCACAAAATGATTACTATATTTTTGATCAAATAATCGCAGCCACTTCTCTCAAAAACACTAAAAATCTAACTTTTGCCACAGTGTTCCACAGTGTTTGTGTCGTTTGTTTTGTCCAGAGGTTTTAGGGTCTCTTCTGTCTGTTCTGTCCATCTGGACTGTGACGGTGGTTCTTGTTCTCTTTGCTGTTCAGAGGCTTATCAGTGATGATTATGAGATACACAGTGATGCATGTGCTGTAACGCTTAACATCTTGTGAGTGATGCTATTTGATTTCATTAGTAGTGTTTGTTGGGAAATGGCATGTTCATGTTCAGTGTTTCATGTGTTTCCATCAGTTTGGCTTTCATTCTCCATCAGTCTCCAGTCCATCACTCTCACAGTCACGGCCTCACAGAAGAGCACAGGAGCACCAGCGTGAAAGCCGCTTTCATTCACATGCTGGGAGATTTACTGCAGCGTTTAGGTGTGCTGCTGGCTGCCTCCATCATCTACTTCAGGGTTTGTACATTACTGTTATTGGCATATACAAACGTATGCATAATTTCACTTGTATGGGCGCTTAGTCACACTTACAGATCAATTGTCTCAAATGCTGCAGGATCTTTTCACCTCAACGTCACTTTTCTTCATCTTTTGTGCTTAATGTGTGTGAATCAGTTTGTTTTGGTGATTTTTAGTGGATGTATGAAGTCAGTCCTCCTCAAGTTCACACAGATCATCACATTAAAATATTAACTTGATCCATTAACTAAAAAATGTTATGTCGAATAAACACCACTTGCTTTTATATTACTTTATTTAATGCAGGCATTCCCAAACTTTTCGTCAGCCAAACGTCTTTAACCTAAAATATTTACTTGAAGCAACCCTGAGATTTTATGTTAATATTTTAACAATTGAACAACACTTTCACATGTTCATGGTTCTCTGATGTCAATTAGCCTACATGACATGCAGGTAAACTAATCAAATATTTAATCTATTTGTGTTTTAATTTGTTTTTATGTTTTATTTAAAATATATTTCATTTTGACATTTTTATTACTAGCTTTTTATAAGCTAACATCAGTTTGGGCAACTATGGAAGCCAGTTTTCACCACAGAATAAAAAAAAACAAAACAGAACTGCAGGTTTTTTTTATTTCACAATTCTGCCTTTTCTGCAATTCTGTGTTTATCTCACAATTTTTCTGGAATTCTGAGAAAAAAGGTCTAAATCCCGTGGCGGGAAAAAAGTAGAATTGCAAACTCAGAACTCCGAGAAAAAGGTTAGAATTGAGTAGGCTAATGCAAACTCAGAATTCTCATAATGCAAAGTTCTGCATTGTTTCCCCCTCAGAATTGCGAGAAGTAAAAATTGTGAGACATATACTCAGAATTGGGAGAAGATTTAAAAAGTCGCAATTACGTAAATGGGTTTCCAGGAAACCCTGATCTAATGCATGACATGTTTTAAATTTTTTACATATACATTTTTGAATGCAATTTATATGTTTGTTCCTCTCTCAAACCAACAGCCTGAATGGAAGATAGCAGATCCTATTTGTACTTTTCTGTTTTCATTATTTGTGCTTGGAACAACATTCACCATCCTGAAAGACATCTTCAAAATACTCATGGAAGGCAAGTGATTGATTGATCTAGATGTAACTGCCCAGACGTTTTAAACACAAGCTGAATGTTATTTTATCTGAAGGCGTCCCGTGTGGTGTTGACTTTGACTCAGTGAAAGACGTTCTGCTATCAGTGAGCGGAGTCAAATCTACACACAGTCTGCGCATGTGGTCTCTCACCACCAGCGAAACCCAGCTCTCCGTCCACGCAGTCATAGGTGGGTTAGAGTGCCATTTAAATGCTCACACAAATGGCACTGGGTGACCAGTCCCAGTTTTTGGTGTCCTGACACAGGAAGTGTCCTCGTTTTTACAGCACGTTCAAAACACCCCACAAATACACTGCAAAAAAATCAGACCAACATAACTTTTTACCAGAGTAATCATGTAGTGAATATTTTCACCAACAAAGGGCGCTGCGAGCTTTACACATTACTTGGCCGTGCACCACTAGACCAATTAACCCTTATGGGTTTCAAGGTAGACACAAGCTAACTATTTGTGTTAAATTAAAGTAATACAATTTGCATGCACTATATCAGTGGTTCCCAACCCTGGTCCTGGAGGCACCTCAACATTGCACGTTTTGCATGTCTCCTTAAACAAACACACCTGATTCAGGTCATCAGCTCATTAGTAGAAATTGGTGTGTCAGAGAAAGGAGACATGCAAAATGTGCAGTGTTGGGGTGCCTCCAGGACCAGGGTTGGGAACACTGCACTTTATAACAGGGCCTGAACAGGATGCGGGTTTGATTTTCACAGTTTTAAAACATTCCTGAAATGTCAGTCGCAGGATTTCCCTCACGCATCTATACAACTATACCACGTGGGTGAAAGTATACTCTGCGATGAATAAATAATAATAATAATAATCTAAATAATTACACTTGCAACAATTGCATTTGCAGAAAGTACATATTTTGTGCTCAAAATGAGCCTAAAATCATAAACCTAATAAGGTATATTAAAGATTTCCAAAAGCACAAACATTTAGGGGAAAACATACTATAAAGGTAATTACTGCATAGGCCAACAGCTTCTTCACAGTTTGTGAAAATGAGTTACTGTTTATCGTGTGTTCCCATATTTATTTTATTTTGGTAAAGTTATGATTTTGTCATTATATAATACAGTTTTGATCTGTTTGCCATTTGCAGCGGTTACTATATACTATTCATAGTGTTATTTTGGTGAATTGTATTAAAACCAGTTGGGGTCCATTTATCATCATAATTAATAATAATAATAATAAATATATTGAACCCAAAATTACAAAAAATTGTATTGTTTTTGTTTTATTAATCATAGATAATAAAAATTAAAATCTCAATAGTTTGACCACTGAACTAGGAAATTCTGGTTTCTATTATCAGAAATCTGGTCAGCTTACTGTAGTTTTAACCCAAATGAATGATTTATTTTCCAGATGAGCAAACCAACCCACAGACTGTGCTAATGGACATGACCAGACTGCTCCAGACACAATATGGATTCAGCAATATCACCATTCAGACAGAGATGCACACAGATGATGTGGCTTGTTGCTTGCAGTGCCAGGACCCGATGGACTGACATGGGATTTTAGCTTCTCATTATATTAATCTATACAGGTTGAATGTATGTATGAATATAAACTTCAGAA